AATATATAATAATTAAAATTAAAATCATAAAACATATGTTTTTGTTAACTTTTTTAACAATCTAAAAGCAAAAACATTAAAACAGCTACTACATAATAATAATATATTATGTTTAGTATATGTATGTAAATACCTATTCACATACCCTATCTATCTGCAGGTGTTCCTGCTTATAACATTAAACCTTTCGATCCACATCGTTCTCCCTTCGTGGAGTTGCGCCGTGGCGATCAAAACAGCTTCGGCGGTTTCAAATTAATATTGCGCAATATTTCTGAATATGGTTGGTCGCAATCGGAGGTAACCAAATATCGCACGGACTATGCAAATAAACGTATCATCTATGCGCAGTATTTTCCGGAAAAGAGTTTGGACGGCTGGTATGAGTTTTCGGGTAAAATACTGGGTACACCCATCAAACGAAGTGGCTTCTGGAATATGACACTGTACGATTACAGCCAAACAACCAGCGTGCGTAGATTGGGCGCACCCGGCACGCTACTGAAGGTACATGTGGAGATCGATCGTATTGGTGGCTTGAAAATGCATGTCGCCAACGCATTGGCAGAGGGACGCGAGCGACTGGATAATTTTGCTGATGGTGTTATAAATAGCATGTGGCCCATTGGCTTTCCCGTTATTAAGCCACTCATTAATGAGCTGGTAAGCACTGCATTTACGGACATATTCAATGAATCGTTTCGAACATTTCCAACAAACAAATTTTTAAATTGATGTCTTGTAAGCCTACTGCATATTTGTTATTGTAATTATTGTTATTACATTTATATATATAATATAATAACGTACTTAAGCAGTATAAATACAAATTAGTTTTAACGAAATAAATACGATATTTAAGAAAGTGTTTTCGTTCTTTACTTTACAAAGCAAATATTGGGGAGTATAATAATTCTTTGTTTTTATAAATATTTATATAATTACACTTATAAATAAACTAAAAACGTCTTACTATAGATACACTCAAAGTGATAAGTTCGCAAAAATTTTTATTATCACTCCAGGCTAGTGGCCACTTGCATTTCCAGTTGTGGAAGTTCAATTTTTTTATGCGAAATTTCATCACTCTGCTCAAGTGGCTTAAAATGACTAAATAATTTCCCCAATGATATGGTGCAAAATGCGGATTTCTCTAGTTGCTGATTTACAGTATCGAAGAGCATTTGGTAAGCAGCCTCTGTTTCAGGTGTGAGCGGCACATCTATAGGGTTAATAAAGTTAAGTTTTGTTAGATAAATTTTTTTTACAGATTATTTTCTACAATAAATGCGTGAATGCTTACGTTTATGCTGGTATTTGCTCAAATCGAACATGTACTGAAAATAGCTCAACTGCTGATATAAATTTCGCTCCGAATATTGACGCACTAACGAACCGGCCTTACAAAACGGGCATATGGGTCGATTTCCCGCTGTCACATGCGTATAAAAGCGTGTATTTTGATTGCATGACGGATCGTCGCAAACTAGCCAATTCTGATAGAAACGCTTAATGTACGAACGTAGACTAAGTAACAGCCGATTGCGTATGGCTACAATGTATTGATATGGCGCAGTGCTACAATCCGTGTTAACACATTTCTGCAGTACAGCGTCGTGGGAATTAGTGGCATTCGGCCGAAAAGCGGTTGCCACTATATTTTCGGATTTGCAGGCAATGCAAATGAATTTGAATTTGTCACATTCGCGATATTTTTGCAAAGTAGTCTTCACTAATGATTCGCCTGTGGTATCCTCGACACGCTCTTGATGTGCCCTAAAAATAAAATTAAAAAAAAATAGAATAAAAAACGACGTATAATTTTATATAATTAATGCATAAATATGGTAGTTAGTACTACCTCTGCGCAGCCGCTCTGAATTTGCTCGGATCTAAGCCCAGCGATTCGGCAACACGACTGGCGTCTGTGCCCTCCAAAACATCCACCATACGCGTGACCACCGGATGTATCTGATGCGCCAGATAATATTGCTTGTCCAATTTCAGCGTTTCGCTCGACTTCACCTCGTCTAAGTGGTAACCGCGCTGTGTCGCTGGATTGTTTGTGCCATCCTGGCATATCACATAGTCCACCATGTCACCTTTCTTGTAGCGCCGATTGCGCGTGCTATTCATGCGCAATGCCACTTGCACATGCGGTTGTGAGATGGCATTGTTGAATTCCGTGGGTGCTTTGGACAGCTGTTTCGTTATGATATACATTGGTAATGGTACGGCATCAGTTTCCACTTGGTCACGTATCTTCTCAAGATGTGAATGCACGGCATCTAATTTTTCATCGAGTTGTTTTTCGGAAAGTATTTCATCAAGTACGATTCGGCCGACCATTATGGCGAGTTGTGACCAATCGCGGCGTACAATGTCTAGACCTTTCTGCTCTTGTACCTTTTTCAATGCACCTGCGGGAAAAATTCGTTATATAAATAAGGAGTATTGAAAAAGCTACATATTGTTATTGTTGTAGCGTTGTGTGGTAAGATTCAAGTTGATTGTCTTTACGTCATATAACGGGATAACCAGAAAAGTTGCTGTTTCGCCGTGGTCGGGCCATAAGGAGTGCGGTAGTTGTTGTTGTTTTAACGGTGTCTCAATCCCCATTAGGTTGGTAAGGGTTATCTGTGTTGTCGTCGACGTCGACGTGGTCGGACCAAAGGAAAAAGGATGTCAGATGGATAGGGTTGGCAGGGCATGCAAAGAGGTGGTCAGTGTCATGCGGAGACTCGTTGCATGCAAGACATACATTGGTTATGTCGTTGTCTATTCTGCATAAGTAGAAGTTTAACCTGCTACAATGTCCAGAACGAAGCCGCGCTAATCGGTGGTCGATGAGTTGGATTCATTGGGCATGTAAAGAGGTAGTTAGTAATGCGGGAACTCGTTACATACTGGACATATATTTGAATGTTGGGGTCGATTCTGGATAAGTAGTAATTTATTTTGCTACAGAACGAAGACGCACAAGGGTCACTCTCGAGCTCGTTGTAGTCACTTAGAGGGAGTCGGTGAAGATGGTTATAGCTCCACTGTGAATAGCGGTAAGTGAATGTCTGAAGTTAGTTGCGTCCGAAGTCTGTTCGGCGTATTGTTTCTACGAAAACACCCCTGCACATACCTTGCCTTTTATGTTGCCAACAACGTTTCTTTTGTTACTTTTAGGGGGTGGCTCGGCTTTAAGCAGACGACTATAAGGATGATTTCTGAGAAAATTTCACAGCAGAAACCAATTGGATAGAAGGCTTTGTGTTTTTTAACCGGAAGTGTTTGACAGTAGATAAAAAGAGGAATCCATTCTGGCCGAAGTTACCGGGCGAGGACTGTCAACTAGGCAACATTTCTCGAAATTACTTCAGGGGGCTTATTCTGTAACTCGATTCGAAAAAAATTTACACGAATTTACTCCAATTTTCGAATAAAATATTCATTCACTTTTGAGCTGTAGAAAGCAAAAACGAAAATTGTACGTATTAATCTGGCACAGGGTGGTACACAACTTTCGCATAATTATGAAGTAGATCCGAATTTCGAATAGAATACATTTACGAATCCAGACACAGAATAGGGCCCCAGGAATGTTTTCTGCGGATACAACAATAATAATAACAACAACAACAGTAATCCTCTTATCGCATGATGAGCAGTGTTCTGGCCACCATCTGCAGCTTCTTCAACATGCTTTTGTGTTGCGAGTCTTTTCAAATACCTTTAATTCTTTAACTCACCAGTTTTTGGGTCTTTCTCCACAATCATAGCAGCGTATTTCTTCTTTTTTAACAGCAGCAAACAACTGAAAACGCCATCGATGCCTAATTCCACTTGCCTGTACATTTTATTCACACTCTGCTTGATACTATTGCCAATCGTGAAGACCTGATCATAGTCCAATATATTCGTATTCACCATTATTGAATCTGTATCGCCATATACCACCTCGTAGCTCATCTTCTGTACCAAACTCTTTGTGTTCATAAGAATCTCACGGCCCTTGTGCGTTACCAGCGCCGCTAAATGCTGTGCGGCAAAACGCGAGTGACCTGCACCCAGACAACCGTACATAGCATTGGCAGTGATTTTCAGCGCCCACTGACGTATGTCGTACTGTTTGAGCAATTCGGGCGCAACATCCGTTTTCGCCATTAATTTTTTTACTTCGCGACGCGACTGCACCAGACGTCGCAATTGTTGAGGCAATATACCTAGTTCTACAGTTGAATCAGGCAATTGTGGCAAATCATCGCTGTTGTACGGTTGTTGTACAGTGGTGAAACATATGTTATACTCTTGAATAATGCTGGGATAAAGCGAATTGAAATCCATAAGTAGTATGTATTTATCATAGAGGCCAGCTATAGGATCTAACACCATGCCGCCTGAGTAGGCAGCTTTTTTACGTCCACTGCTTGCTGTCGGCGCTGTTGTCTCGTTGCCTTCACCATCAATAATAGTCGTATTGTTTTCGCTCCATTCACGCTTTTTCTTATCAGGTACTATATAGTTTTTCTCGGTAAAGGCGTGTAGCAGTAAGAATTCAATACGCTCGGAGCGGCCATGTTGTAGTGTTCGCGTCATGGTGTTGCCACAAATATTGGTTATTTGCAAAGCTAGCGGCAAAAGATCTAGTTTATACATCATGCGAAGTATATAGGAAGCGTCCTGCATAGTTAGTGTTATTAATTTCAATACGCCATCGCCTGGAAGAGAACGTATCTGAAAAGTGTTGAAGTTATCTATGGTATGACTTGTAGGCTCACCTGTTTCGAATAACTGTAGCAAGTCTTCATCGTTGACATCCATTCGTTCGTTCTCTTTAATTTCCAATACGGCCTGACACAAAGTCTGCAGATCATAAGAACGCGCTTTAATTTTCTCTTCAGAAGCTGTTCTTTTAACATCGCAAACCATACGACCTGCGAAGAAATCGAGCCACTTTCGACCACTGCCGTGTGCAGACAAGCGTACGCGGCCTAAACGAGACCATTGTGGCACTTTGAGTGCTGAAATGCGATCGGTAATCACATCCAACTGGCAATCAATGGCATCGAATGTGACTATTAAATCGGCATCTACTTGTTGATACATTGCAAGGAACCACATCAGTAGTGCTCGCTCATTGTCATGCTTCACGACGTTTATAGCTTTGAATTTTGCTAACTTAGCTTTGAGATCGAATGGCCAAGCAGCCATTATCGGGCGCGTAATACCGCACATACTTCTATTGAAAGCAGGTTGTGGCGCGCGTCGATCGATGTGGAAGCGATTGTGTACCAGCATGGAAATCATGCAGATTTCATTTTTAAGTGTTTTGGGATTAAGTGCCGTCCGTACGTTTAATGTGAGTAGTGTAAGTGGTGGTGGTGGTGCGGGCTTGGGTTCTTCCGTGAGTATGATAGACTTTGGATCGTTAACGGTAACATCAGAGTTGCACCAGCTTATTGGCGCGGGATTTACTGAGAATTGATTCAGTGTTAGCCAACAAGGGCCTTTAATTTTTCGGTCGAGCAGAAAACGCTCCAGTGCCGTTGTGTTGGCACCGAAAATATGGGCAATTGAATTATATTTTTTCTTTAAATTTGGTGGCGGCTTTTTGCCGTCGTAATGTATCTGTAAAGCAAAAAAAAAAAAAAATTAATTAATTATACAGTTTGCGATCATAATAATATATATATATATTCAGTAATTACCTCCATATAGTCACAAACTTGTGGCACATCAATGCCAATAGAATGATTGCCAAAGTTTTTGGTAACCTTCCGAGATCTAAATCCATCTAATTTTAGTTCTACAGAAATTTCCTCATCGAATTCCTTATATAAATCGCTTAATTGAACAAGTTTGTCTGTTGGTTCCTTAGTAATTGGATCGAGTAACTACAATAAAAATCAATCAATACAAAAACGTTAAATATTTTATAATCTCATAACTCACATATTTTCTTGGTAAAAGGTACAGTACGCGATCTATCTTTCCAACTCGCACACAAATTGATTTGTTTTCTGATGAGCGACCGAACATAAAAACTTCGCCGGGACATTTATTGCGGTCTTCCCAAGCTTCCCAATACCAGAATTTTATTGTATCCTCTTTACATGTGTTCGATGCCGAATCATTTTCACTATTTGTGTTTTCCTCCTCAAAATTGTCCATTTGACATATTTGCTCCCAGTTGCTCAATAAGTTTTGTAAGTCGTCAGCATCTTTCACAGGCGCTACTTTTGATTGTATAATTTTCTTTGGCGAAACTTCACTTATGTCGCTTGCGTTCTCCGTAACTTTCTCAAATTGAGCATTGTTGTCTTGCAAACTACTAAAGTCTATATCATCATCTGGGAAGTCATTTCCACTTAACGGTGTTTCGATGGCAACATTTGACTTTTCGATTGGCTTTTCAGACAAATTTGTTACCGCCTTTTTGGCTGGAAGTGCAACAGTTTCTTTAACGGGCGCCAGCCCTTTCACCTGCTTTGCTATGTCTGTCTTTTCAGGAATCTCTTTTGATTTCTCCAAAATCTTTTTATTAGGCACTGTAGGTTTCGGTTTGAGAATACTGTCCAATAATTCGTCGTCACTAGTTTTGTCAGCACCTTTTGCTGTTTCTGCCATTTTTATATTATTTATAAAATTATTCATGTAATCGTTAGCAAGTGTGGCGTCAGACTTTCTGGTTGATTTGCTTAAAATTCGTGCTGGTGCTATGTGTTTTTTTGGTGCTGGCGCTGTCTCTGAAGTCTCTTGAGCAACTTTTGATGTAGAACTTTTGGGTTTGTCGTGCAATTCACCTAAAATATCTGCTAGTATATTATCTTCCGCCAATGATGTCATTTGAGTCTTCTTGGGTACTGCATTACTGAAGAGATTACGTATCGAACCCTTCCCCTTCACTGGTTTATGAGAGTCTCGTAGACGCTTGCGGCTGTTTTTCTTGCTTTTATCTTTTTTGTCTGCAACTTCATCTTCAGAATAGCCATCCTCATCTTCGAAAAAATCGCGGCCGTCTTCAGCATATCCCGTTCCATCTATATACAAGTTTTTTAATAATTACTTTACAGTTGAACGCTATCATCGAGTTTCCAATTGCATTACGCTTACCTTCCTCAATCCAATCATTCCCGTATTTTTCCCTTGCACGTTTGGCATACTCGCGCTCATCAACTACTTCATATACATCATCCACTTCCTCTTCAACTTCGTATTTGTGCTTATTGCCTTTTAATTGTTTCAACCGTTCCAATGCAGCGAATCGACCTGCTTTGTCCACGCGTTGTCGTTTTGCTCTAGGTTCACCTGGTAGATAATAATTATTAACACACCTTTTTGTTTTTTAATTATTACTATTATTACTTGGAGAATCGGCCATTTTGCTCAGCGATGGTTTATAAAATTTGTACAAATTTAGTAAGTCAATCCAATAAAAAATAATATACAATTAGCTGAGCATACAAAAAATGCAGCAAATATGACAACTTTAAAACTAATGGCGGGAAAAACAAAACAAAGGGCGCTGCTAACACAGAGATGTATTTAACTCGCTTGGGGTGGCTAATTCGGCAGTAAAGTGTAGATAAGTAGTAAACAATTAAACAGGAAATTAAATTGTGACACATTGAATAATATTAAGCAAAAATAGGTAGTAACTAATATTTGTAACAATTTTAATAATTTATTTAAAAAGCATTAAAAAAAGAGATTTTGTATGTGTAATTTTGTATGTGTTATTTATTTAAAAAATATTTTAACAATAGTAATTTGGTTTAATTTGACATTTTTACTTTTTGTTAATGATATTTACAAACTGTATTTAAAGTTGACAAACTTTTTTGCTTACAATCTTTATTTTCTGTTCTGGTCGCACTTTTCCGGTTCGCAGTGATGCATTGCAACTAACCTTACAATATGTCAACGATCTTATCGTCGTTAAGCTGTCTTATTTGTGTTGTTTTGAATTCAATCTCCTTTTCAAAGAGTATTTGTTCACGCAACATCTCATCACGTTCCCGTTGTAATTTTACTTCTAGTAATTCTAACCGTTTTTGCTCCACTGCAACGCGATATCGGTGTAGTTCCTGTTGACGCTGACGGAAGCCACCTTGATTTTGTGTAGACTTTGGCTTGCCAGTTCCTTTTGGTATTTCTGCTATCGTAAGCTCTAAACAATTTTCGCAGTTTTGTGCATTGAGCGAACTAGAATGTTTACTAGACTTCTTAATCGTTTGCAATTGTTCACTATTCCGTTCAGGTTCCTGTGTTGCTTTTGTCGTGTTTTTGATGATGCAAGTCTGCTGTGTGCCATCTATTTTATCCTTAGTCATGGCGCAACAATAATCCGCATCGAAGTCTGGTGTTTCGCCAATTTCATGATCAGCCAAAAATACAAAATCTGAAAATGACGGATAATTTCTTGCCATTTGTGTTGTTTCAAAAGAGTTATCAGTGCTTTCCTCAACACATTCATCTGAGTTCTCCTGTGATTTTGTTACATCATAGTTGTAAGTACCATCTTTTATAGTTTCTGATTTGGTTTCATTTTGCTCAATTGTATTTACTTGCCGTTCCTCCACTATTGCTTCTTGTTCTACTGGCAAACAATATACTTCCAACTTGACGGCTTCCTTCGGTGGTTCGTGTAATATACTAGAAAAGTACTCGCATGAAGGTTGCGGCGTATTCACAGTGTGGGACGTACGTAATTCCTCTTTGGAGCAATCATAAAGTTTGCGCAAATTTGGTACATCATCATCCTCTGCTTCCTCTTCATCGCTATTCGGTTTGGCGCTCAAAGCGGCAATCATACGATTCCAATGTTTTTTCTTTGATATTGCGCCGGTTTTACGCGGATAGTTGTTATCTATTTTGGCATATCGATAGTTTACCACAACTGTACGGTAAGTTTCTTTCTCCGTTGAAGGTAACCAGTTTGACTTCTGTGGGCCATTAGACGAATTCGCTTTGTTTTTCAAATGAGAGGCATGACTGCTATCACTCTTTTCTTCCGCTAAAAAGTTAGAACAGCTGCTATAATTGTTTTTGCATAAATATTGTAAGATTGTTACCATTGGTCTCACTAGTTTTTGTGTACATGATGTGCGATACTTTAAGTAAGCTGGATTAGTTTTATTTCTTGTTTTTTTTTTTTTTTTGAATTTGGAAAATGTTAACAAAAATGCTGACTGTTCATAATTTAGATTTGCTGAAGTTTAAATAAAAAATTAAGTGAAATGCGGAAATTGTGGAGTATTTGAAAACAATTCCAATACATTGTTTAAAAAAAAAACAACAAATTGATAGTAGCTTCAAATAATAGTTGTTCGAAATGTTATTTGCCATAAAAGCAATAACAAGTGATGTTTCCGAGAAATTTAAGATCTTAAATGTTTTAGTCATTTTAATTAAAAATTTTCAGGCGTCTAGTGACATTATGATTAAATATTTGTTAAACAAAATAAATAAAAATAAAAAGTAAATACTTACTTGTTTTTTTAGTCATAGCTAAAACTAAGCCAATTATTGAAATAAAAATGCTGCAGTTGCCATTTGAATTTGTAAAGGGTGTTCCCAGTTCTTAATTTTATTTCAACTCACCACTCCGTTATATAATATATGCACTCATACATAAATATGTATAATTGAATAAAAATAGGCTGTATTTACGTGTATGTGCATTATATACGTAATGCATTGTTCTTTTACGCCTACATATGTATATACATAAATAATGTAAATATGTATGTAAGTACCTGGTGCACAGACGCCGTTTTCGAATTTCATATATTTTCCGTCTGTGTGTCTGAGTGTGTGTGTGCTTCTTACTGTAATTTCAAATTGTTCGGTTTCTTTGCATGAATTAGCAATTATAATCTACAATTTTATGTTAGTATGTATGTATGTATAATATGTATGTTTACATTACATTGAGGTTCATTACAATATAACAAAAATATAAACATCGGTATATAAATCATTAAAATTCACTAGTTTGACCATATATATAATTTCATTAAATTTTTATTAATAATTTTATCTAAAAATTGTATGCCAATGCATATTGAATTTTGGAGTTTTTTTTATTGTTTATAGCTTTATCAGTTTCATTAAAATTTACACTGCTGAGTTAGATCTTAAATTTATGTTATCATTAAGATTTGTGTTTACCGTTTCATGGCTTACTTTCTTCACCTTAAAGTAAATACGCCACTTAACGCTAATAAAAGTATTATTTTTTATTTTAGTTTTTCTTTCATTAATGAAATATTTTTTTCATTTCAGAATAAATTCGCATGCACAGCAACAAAGTACGTGTAAGTGCATACATACATATGTTCGTTTTGTCCAATTTAAAAATGTAAAATAAATATTTTGTACATACACAAATATTATAATTAAAAAAAAAAAGTACGCTTGCATTCTAGTTTTTTTAAATTTTCATGTTTTTCAATATATATTTTTCATAGACACTTTTTGGTTATTGTTTATTTTATATATATAATTTTATATATATAATATTTGTTGCGCCATTTTATTTTAGGTAAAAACAATATTAGTGAACATGAAAAGTATTTATAAATCAATAACACTTCACATAGTAACCAATGTTTTCAATCACATTTCTTAACTGCTTGATTTATTAGCTTTAAAAATTTGTATATAACCATATTTAAATAAGTCACGTGTGGTAGTTACTAGCGCTGTCAAAAAAACACTTCAATCAACAATATTGGCACAAGAGTTGTCAACCGTAAGAACCGTTCTAACGGGGGAACAAGACTTCGAACTTATAGTAAACATGATGTTTAAGACTTATTTTTTTTTTGTTTTTCCTTTTGTTTTTAGAAAATACAATATATAAATTATGCATATTCAATTTGGTTTGGCGTATACTCACCAGCTTATTTATGTAAATTTGACGTTTCTATTTTAACTTGTTTAGTTTATACCTATTGAGATTTATAAAAATTCGAAATTCGCAATTCGGGACTTTTGTGTGTATAAATATATGTATAAAAATGTATGTAAGTAAAAATATATGTACATATGCATGTGTGGACAGGCGTTATTGCAGTAGATGCTACGAAATGTGCTGCCCGCAGGTAAAGCTTTTTTAGTTCAGTTTTCAGAAATTTTATGAATGCACATGTGTGTATTGGAAGTGAAAATATAATTTGTACATATTACATACACATACAATTATATATGTATATATATGAGTCGGGTTTAAATCGTGAGCCTTAACAGTATTTTCGCGCGCTATTTTCCAATAATTAAAATAAGTCAAATAAAAAATTTTAAAGTTAACATACGCTCAATTTATAAAACTTATTTAAAGACTTATTTTACATACTTTCGAGTTTAGGTACAATTGTATGCATGTACTTACACATCGCAATCGAAAAGTGCACACCCTAATGTTTTAATTCTGAAATATTTTGCGCGTGTGTTTTGGAGATATAAAACTAGCGCTTTAAATATTTTTTGTATGTAAATAAATATACATTTGTACATTTTTGTATGTTTGTATGTTTATATGTACATATGTATTTATTTATCTAAAGACTTTTATGGTAACATAACTACTTACAAATTTCGTCTCTGTGTGGTTTTGAGTATTTGCCTAGTCCTTAACAAGCTAGCTTATTTATCTTCGCTTATCCTTAAGACATTTACAAAGATTTAATGAGAACATGCTTTATATGATTATGCAGTTACATACATTGTGGTTGCAAGCAAATAAATATGTATATACATATATATATTAATGCTTTAGAATGAGTTCGAAATTCTTTTAGTTTTTATAATATTTATGCTGAGACTGCCCAGCTTGTTTGTTGGCGCCATTGCGTTCTTTTGTCATGCAGCTTGTTAGTTTTTTAACGACTTATAACGGTTTTAGTGCATATTTATTGCTGTTTTAACCAACTCCAGCCTTCTAAACCAATGATTTCCACGAAAAAAAAATTCCCACGAAAAAAAATTTTTTAGCCATATTTTTATACTGACGCTGAACGAGAGTACTTCTACTACGATATTTTTTGTTGTTGTTCACTTACAAACGTAACAGTTTTTTTACACTTGTATGCATGTATTATAAAAAGTTGTATTCAAAAGTCTGAAAATTATATATATATTTTTTTTTATAAATGTATATCCATCATATTTTTCGCGCTTAATGTGTTTGTACTTATACATACACATTTCTTATATTCCTTTATTTTCAATAATACATAATTTAGCATTTTGTGTGTTTTAATCGTATATTCACAATTTGTTTCTCAAATATTTTATTGCTATGATTTGTGTTTTGTTTTATTAATTTAATGTTACAAGTTCTTGAATACCACTGAAAATTCTTCACAATTTACACATTTTGTTTTCTTAATTGTCTGCTTTTGTTACATTAATAGTTTAAAAGTTCATCTTTATCATCGATCTTATTCGAAAGTTACTGGACGACATAATGAAAAAAATGAAAGTATTGCATACCAAACTTCGGTCAGATATAATCCGATTTGTAAAGTACAGAGTACGTATTCCAGACGTAGTTTGTATTCTTGTAGAAGCAATATGTAGGAGACACCGAAAAAGCATGGGATTGTTAGAAAAACAGATAAAATAACTGGACAGCCTGTAAATAGAAGAAAATGTATAAACATATTACAATAACAAAATTTGTAGTGCATATTTAAGAATTAAGGGGTTACATGGGTTTTCTTGGGCAAAAAAGGGCCTTTTTTCAATAATTTTTTTTACATATAAAAAATGAAATATTTTAATGATTTGCTTTTTATTTAAAAGTTTCATATTTAATAAACAGTTTGTAAAATTTTAAAAAAAAAAAAAAAGCAAAATGGCAGTAATTACGACGCCATTTCCGGCAGTCCCTCGGGAAAGAGGTGCATACGCGTTGTCAGCAGAACTTCTTTCAGGATCATCCAAATAAAAATAAAAAATACGTGTTTTAGTAAAGACTATAAACTAGGTATTGGATGAAGGAAAAAAAAAAATTGGATTTTTGGCAGACGTTTTTATAAAAAAAATGCAAATTTCGATTAAAATTTCTGGGAATTTTTTTTTAAATAGTTGTAATTAAAAAAATCCTTCATTCAAGACCTTGTAAATGATATCTCGAAGACCTGTGTAAAATTTCATCAAGATCGGTTAAGTAGTTCGCCAGAAAGCTTGACAATCGACTTTGAAAACATAGTTTTGAGAAAGACGCGTTTAAAGTTTTACCTACTGCGCCCCCAGCCTATACCTGCCCTCGAGCGTCCACGTTTTCAAGGTTGTATCTCCGAAACTATTAGTCGTATCAATTTGAAAATTTAGGACAACATTCTAGAGATGTTATAGAATTTAATAAGACAAAGAAAAATTTCGATTTTTTGAAACTGTGAAACTCATGTAACCCCTTAAGGGGTTATATACAGTTTTTAAATTTATTTTATTTTATTTTCTTAATGTACAGATATTTTAGAATACACACAGAAAATTTCATATTGTTCGTTGAATATTAATAATTAAATGAAAATTTTTGAAATAATTAAATGAAAATCAGCTTCGTGGAGAGAAAGAGGTGTCTGCAACATTTCAGAGTGATATCTCCGAACTGAGGGGCTAGTTCGCGTATATACAGACAGAAATTTCTAAACTTACTTGGCTCTTCACGCAAATTATTATTGAAATGACCGAAGAACAAAATAATTTGATAATTTGACTTATGAAGCCTATTTTGATTTATATGACAATAAATGCCGTATATGGAGTGATGTTGAATGATTTTTTTTTTGTTCAGAACTGCTCCGAAAACGTATCGCATTTGGTGTTAGATGAAACAAATGCACACCAGGTCAGACCGGTTATTGCGTAGCTCCAACGAAACTTCACTATCCGCTGGCCTCCAATTTCTCCTGGCTATGTCTAGACAGACATGTATAAAATAAAACTGAAAAATCCGACTGAATTGAAGCAGTCCATTAAATCGATAATTGAGGCAATCCCGACTACAACCATACAGACCGATGAAAAATAATTAACTAGACTAATTTAACTTTTAGAAAACAGAGTATTGCTTATATATAGTAATTTTTAGAGTTTTATAAAATAATTCCCATACTTTTATCAGCTAAAGAGCCCTTGCGTCCGAGTATGATGCGTATCGTCTCTAAAATGCAGAAACCAATCACAACAGCCGAATCTCGTGCCAAAACGTTATTCGGATATGATAGATTGATGGCCTTCAGCAGACCCATACTCAGTTCACAGCAGGCGAACATGCCAAAGTAGAAGGAATTCAAATAGATTAGCACTTCGTAGCCAAGACTAGGATTGGCTTTCTTTGGCACATGAATCGGTGGCTTCTTTGGCGGTGGCATTTCGCTACACTTTTACATCAATCGTTCTTCTTAACTACGCTGGTTTCTATATACTACGTAAACACTAAGAGCGAACAGTTTGTGGATTTGAGCTTGTTTTCATTTTCGCCATATTTTCTTAAAGGATTTAAACTTAATTTTAAATTTCACAACAAAAAAAATAGCACTGTAACTAAACAACGTGTGCTGGCGGTTGTGACAAATAATGCAAAACTATTGCTTCTGGGTAATCAAAATGTGTGTTCAGAGTAGCTTCACGCCCGTACCGCGTACTTATAGCACTATATGTCTCGGCGCGTATTTATAGACTGACCACGGTATGTTTGCGTTGCACAGATTGTTGGCGGTGCAATTGATGGTACCTTTGGCTATATATTCGCGCATTGTATCAGTATCGGCCCGGCGATGAAAATGTCGCTCTATAACAATTCACAATAAATATGTGTACAAGATGCATATCTACATATAGTACATGCAAGAGGCACTCGATTATTACCATTGCTTGTTGGCAATCATTGTTGTAAGTGTACTTGCATTTGGGAATTTGGCATCGTTCCGTAGGGAACGTCATCAAGGACGTTCATTTATCCTACGGTCTCGTGAATTTCAATGCTCAAAACTACTCTCCTAGTGAGTAATTTCGACAGAGCATGGAAACCGAGAAATCGAGAAAGAATTAGAAAGCAACGGTTGACTTTTGTTTTTTCAAATAACCGAAAGTCATACAAGTTTCAAATGTGGCAGCAAACTTAGAATCCGAGCTTTTCGCAATGCAATGCGCGAAATTACATATATTTAAAAATTATTAAAATATTTTCATTAATATTCTTTTTTTCTTAGCTACATCTAAGTGCTTGCTTCGTGTAATCTATATTTAAGAAATTGTAATTTCAAATTAATGAAAGAAGTTGCAAATTTGATTTTCAGGAATTGCTTTAAGAATTATATGTATAATTTATTAATTTGTTGGTTTAGCTCGTATTTTTAATTTTTGATTGTTGTGTTTATAGATTCATTAAGCCCCTGGAATATTACAAACATCATTATTTACATATATAAATCCATATATAAAAGTCTGTACGTATTTATATGCTTACAAGCATGCATATATATCTAAACATGCGTGGAGTCATAAAATCTTTAGTTTATTGCAATTTCTCGCTACTAAAAGGCACAGTTGCAGCCGATCGCATCTGTTGCTTATGCACCTAATTAAGATAATTATTACACCTCACACTCACAGACTTATGCGTTCATTACCTTCCTACGAGGCAGTTCTTTTGCTTTTGTTTAATGTAGAGGTTTTCTCGTATGCTTTTTTTTTTTTCTGCTGGCGGCTAGCTATGGCGGTGATTGCTATTTTTAATATATCTGAGGCAAATTTAGTAGTGCATATAGAATCTTAAAATCTGCACAAGTTAGCGCCAAACTAGCTATTGAATACTATCCATACAATTCAGTTTGTGTGTTTTGGGTTTCGTGACATGTCGCGTTCGGTAATCAGGCGCATCGATTTCGTCTGGGCTAGTACAAAAAAGTGCTCTAAGCTGAAACGCAAATTTAGTGCTTAAACTAAAATTACAAAACTAAACCAAATTTATATTAATTCGATTGCAGAAGTGCGCTAAAATGCAGTGAAGACTTACCTGAAAGTACAAAGTACATAATATACATAACTCTCGTCCAAACAGTCTAAGTAGCTTCGACGTAGAAAATATTCAAATTGATCTCAAAATATTGGTTTACATATATATCATAGGCTTAGATTCGGGTCATCTTTTATATATAGTATTAAACGCATCAACTAGGTTTAAAGAGCATATGTACATATGTATGGCGTTTGTCGTAGTTGCACTACAGTCTGGCTGTTGAGTTGGCTTCACTGCTTGAATGGTGTATTATTTTCGTTTGGTGAAATGCAACACTTCTTCTGCTTATACTTGGAATTCCGGCCATGAAGATTAACGTTGTGAGCTTTTCGCTAAAAGTTGACAGTATTTTCACTTTCGTTCTTTATGTGTTTTCGATTTTGTAGCAAAAACGGGCTGTTGTACGTATTCGCCCTTACTCTTGTATTAGTAACATTATATTGAATTATTAACATTGCTTGTTCATGCATCGAAACATACATGAAATTGTTCCAAGTTCGTCGTTACAAGTTTAATGTAAATTCTTATCGACTGCTAGGTATACGAAACGTCGCCAAACATGGTGCAAATGAAGACACAGGCATACACTAGTTCAGCACCTTGGAGGGCTATCATTAAGGCACTCAGAATCAATTCGAGTTTGAGAACATAGGTTTGAAAAAGACATAAATAGATAACAAGAGCAAGACTGGGCAGTGTTAATATTACGGATGCTGTTGCTTGCCAGCCTACAAGTAGAAATCAAAAATAAATTTATTAAAAATTTATATTAGCGACATTCGTTTGTTTATACTATATGTGTTTAAATATATATATTATTAAATATTTTTATAAACTATGCACATTAGGGTGATACGTATAAGCACTTAGAATTTACTATTGTTTTCAGTCACTTCGTTTCAATTGGATTTTGAATGTATGTACGTGTATGTTAAAAAATTGTATTTAAATACAACTTCGATTTTATAATAACCGCCGGATTAAGAAATTTCTTGTTTGCTCAAAGCCCAGCCTAATATATTGGGTATTCGAAAAAGTCTTTTCGTATTTCTCATCAAACTTCAACTTATTTTTTTTATATTTATGCTACACTTTTTGCCATTTTTCCGCTAGAGGTATTATATGTTCTAGTTAAACTGCAATTTTTCTTTTACATTTTACGCATGTAATACTTAATAGCGAGCTAATCTAATAAAAAATTATGTGAAAAATATTTTTAATAAAACTTTTGATTACAATATGCATATAAAATAAGGACATAACTATTAAAATTTATTGCGTGCTGTCATAATTGAAATTCATAACCCATAAGCAAATTACTGCCAATATTTATGTATGTGACCTGGTCTACGAAAAGGGAGCTAACGTGCGAAAACTAGTTTTCTGAGAAACAGCTGTTAAAAAAAGCATCTCATCTTCCATCCGAATCAACTAAAAAGTGAAAATTGATTTCTTGACACCTAAGCCCCCTTTCCAGGGTCACATATATCAATATTTATAAACCTTTTGTCCTAAAGGAAATTTTAAACTTTTGAACGACAAAACTTAGATTTAAAATCATCATCTATATCCATGTATATACGATATTTTACGAAAATTACATTCTCAGCACAGTATAGATATATGTACAATATGCATGTCATACTACTCTTCAAACTTATAAAATGTCTTGAGGTTTTAGCTACTGCTGAGATGCCTTTGAATGCCACTACCGCGCTTAAAGGTATGATATTGCGTAATTTGTAGCGATTTCTGTTAGAAAATGGTATATGCTTTTAACCTAAAAAGTCAGTTAAAATTTTCCTGCAGGGTTCAAAGTTTCGAGCTACGTTTTGTTTACAGTGTGGGCATATAAACAATGCATATCACACATACATACATACATGTAATAAATACATATACATATGTACACGTAGTGCTGAAAATTTAATAGATATGAAAAACAAGTGGCAAACATTTTTAGTACATACCTCGATCGCTTAAACTGCTCTTCCGACCTAATACAATTCGTATTGTTTCCACAATGCACAATCCGAGTAATATGCACCCTTCTCGCGTCAAATCTTGCGCAGTATAATTCAATCCGATTGCCTTCAGTACACCGACACCAATCTCAAATATGGCGTACATTCCAAAGTAAAACGAATTCAAATACATGAGGATTTCGTAAATGAGACTGGCATTCATTTTAATAGGAATACGTCACCGCGTTTGGAACCGAATTGTGTTGTTTCCTGGGCGGGTTAGTTGTTTGCCTGATAAGGTTGATTGGCTAAAGCGTTTTGCAAACTTAACTAGTTAATGTGTCCTCTCTAACCTCTCTTGTTGTGTATTTATGTGATTATTATTATTTTTTTTTTTTGGCGGCGGGCTGACGGCAATGGTATAGATGGCTTAGTTGGCGGCTGGCGGCTGGCTGCTGACACAGCTAATGTTGGTTGATGTATTTTGGCTTTGATAAGATATGAACCGTTTGGTCGGCTATTGATTGTTGGACCATTTGTTGTTCGGGCTCTGTTGCTTGTAAGTAACTTGTTCAGCTCTATACATTCTGAGCATTCACACTCACTCACTATAACTGCTATGTAAGTTTATGTTGCTTCTAATAATACAGTGTAGGCATGTTTTTAGACAAGGCCTTGTACATGAAACATACTGTGTGTTGCATTACCTAAGGTTATAAAAACATTAAAATCCTGTGTTAACTAGAAACTGTTATTATTTATTCGTATGTTATATAGGACATATAAATATTTATAATGTATAATTCCTGCTTTGGTTTTTTTTACGCGTTATAGCCATATTTTACCGCAAAAAACACCGATTTTTAGTTGACCTACATATATGTATGTAAATCGAAAACACACTCAAACGGTAAATAAGCACGAACTGAATTTATGATGTTAATGTGATACAAATAATTACTTTGGAATTGCTTTAACTCGACCTTATGCCATTTTGGTATTGGAGCACTTTATTAGCTGGCGATAATTTACTCGGTGTATCTTCCTACCTGTTATCAAGGATCGTTGTATTACTTTTAATGCTTTATAGCTTATTAGAAAAAAACGGTAGTTTTAATTTATTTGGTGCAAATTGTTAAATGATAGGAAATGGATTAAAAGGCGGTCATAGGTGTATGCACATTGAATAAACGACAATGTTTAATTCGTTTATTGTTAACGATTTCTTTACAGCTCGTTTTCATTTTATTACTGTGGTTTCCATGTTGGTGCTGCCGTTATTGCATTTTTCTCATTTTTAGTAATCCGTATGTTTAAGTTATTTTTCGTATATTTTGTTTTCAAGTGATTTTATTAACTATAGATACAACGCCCTCAATTTCTAGTAACGAATGCATAGCTATTTTTTATTTTTTATAACTGTTTTCTTTCTTGATTCTGTTAAAGTATGTACATACGGTAATTTTTACTTTTTAAGTTGCTTTTATTTATATTCTAATTTTAAGACAATGTTACAATTTATTATATTAGTCGCTTATTACCTTTCAATTTTGCCATTATATTAGAAAAATTCTGCACGAAAAACAAAACAAAAACACATAAAAAAAGAAAATTATGACAGATGAAATAGCCTAAAGTATTCAAGGAAAAGAAGAATATGCTTCTAGCGTAGACGATGAAAATAAAGTAGAAGAAACTATACAACGAGTTCGGTCTCAACGGAGATGATTAAATGTAGCACTAGAGAAGATTGTTTCTTTCAGCTTTTTTCATCTGTGTCACGTTATCCATTAGCTCAACACTAGCTCATTTGTGCACTGTCAGGTACTTGGGAATGCATTTTGTAATTTGCAATTAGTTATGTACATTACATATGTATGCAATTATTAGTAAGCTCACATGTTATAATTTTGCATAACTTGAATTAATGATTCCCTATAGACTATTTACATATACAATACTACATTACTATATGCATATACATCAATGTTAATGTTCTCACTTATATTTAAGATTTCACATTTCGGATTTAAATATTATCTCATTTGTCTTTATGACACACATATTTTCACTTACTAGTTCACTAAATTTTCAATATTATGAACACGAGTTTTATCTATTTTTGTACACTGTTCCACTTTTTTACAAATTCAATTGAAATGGAATACATAAAAAATAACTATGTCAAATAATTCATTGATTTGTCTTTGATTCGCAGAGTAGATATCTTATTCTCGATTAATATTTATTGCAAAATTGCGAATATTTTGCTTTGATTATATGTACAGTATTTGTATTTTCATTCGCTTGTGTTAATTTTTCCTGCTGCGCGTACACTATTTCTCCGTGCCTTGTACGCGCTCGCCTGTGTATGTTCTACTTTGACAGCCTGCCTGCCTTGCTGCCTTTTTACTTAAGCCAATATTTCCATCCAAAGGCATACCTCTACTCGTAAGTATAATGAAATATATTATATATAAGTAAGTATAATTGTATACTCTTAAAACACATTGGTATGTACACAGTATATTTGTTTAAGAAAAGCGGTATTCTTTGCACTGAATGAAAATGTAAAATATATTTGTCGTTGGATGACAGAACTATAACATTTATCTCCCGTCCCATCATCGCTTCTACCTGGACAACTCTCACCATCAACCCACAACTCGCTTGTTTGCTTTCACTATTTACTCCTTACGTATTCAGGCGAGAACGAATACTCGTTGTAGTCGGAAGTGCAATTGTATATCGTTGGTAGTTCATTATAAACGGTGGTTGTGTTATTATTCCATGCCTGAATGTTTCTCGCTCTTTGAATTTTTTCCATTATATTTCCTTTTCGGTGTTTAACGCTTACCGACGATTTATCATAGTTTTGTTTTAGGTTTATTTCGTATTTTTCTTGGGTATTTTTGGGTTTCTATCCTACTATAAATTAAGTAATATTTTATAAATACACATTTCAACGTTGCAGGCAAAAAACATACATACAGCATATTATAAGAATGTACGAAAAGGTAAAATATTTGCAATAATTAGTCAAAGATGCCTATTGCATTATAACATCGAAAAACATTGCTATTTTAAAAAGAGGCATCCGTAAGTATGCAAGACAAAGTTAAAGATAAAAAAAAAATATTTCTAAGAGGAAATTAATTTGAAATCCGTTTCCGTTTCTCAATTTCCATTTATTGAACACCGAGGCACTGATGACAGAGAAGTAAAATACAGAAACTGGTACAAGCTAATATTTTAATTAAAATTTTATATGATTAAAAAATACCTTTTAAAAATACCTAGAAAGTTCAAAATAAACGTAATTTGCATTTGAAAGATATTGTTTATTTACTTTTAGTTCTTCTAATCCTGATAATTTACAGCAACTATCCGCGACACAGAGCTGATCATTAGTGGGATGGAGTATTGAAAACACATTAATGGTTCGCAGCATATTCGTTCAAAAGTCCAATTGTATTTGTACTCTTCTCCAAAAACCATTAGTATTTTGTAATATCTATTTACCTGTAAGGTGTGGGTGTTAAGACTTGTGCAAGCGTTAAGTTACGATTTGACTTTTATATTTTTTTCGGAATAACCAATTAATATATTAGATTGAATACTGTATTTAATCTAAGTAAGCAATGTTAATTTAAGCAATAATAAGCTTAATTTTTTAGTTATATGACTTACTTACGCATATATTTATTTATATATATGAATTCATCTACAGTTTTAGCATCTCTGTTTTGTATCATCGTGCCTTTTTCTCGTATAAGAAGAAGCATTGACAAGTGGACATATCTAAACATTTTGGGTGAAAACAAAGGACGCAATTTATAATTTGGAAAATATTTAAATTTTTGTGTAAAGTAATTACAGTATATTTGAGTTGTGTACAGTATTAGGGGATATTTAATAATTAAAATGCCTGCAGATCAAATACAGTACTCGGAAAAGTACTTCGATGCCATTTATGAATACAGGTTTGTTTGAATTGCTTTGATCTGGTTATTTTGTGGAGTTTTACCTTTCGACAATTGAGTGAATTGAAGTAAATATAATAATACTTTAGGCACGTTATTCTTCCGCCGGACTTAACGAAGCTGGTACCAAAGTCTCATTTAATGAGTGAAACTGAATGGCGAAATTTAGGTGTGCAGCAGAGTCCAGGCTGGGTGCACTACATGATTCACGCGCCTGAACCACATGTGATACTCTTCCGACGGCCACGAACTGATATTCCAGAAACTGGGACGAATATCAACACCAATAATTCTGTTGCCACAAACACTACAAACAAAGAACAACCTTCAGCACAACAAAAACAGATGAACGCTAACAACAATGTATCAGTACATGGATAATAATGTTTCTACATAAAGTGGAAATGCTACACAAAACAAGACACCTCGTTGAAAACAATAAGATCTTTAAGATTTTTATAATACATTTTTATTTTATTTTTAATTTCAATTGTTTTTCGAAAAAATGGAACAATCCATTGGAAATGCATGAACTACTCAGCGTTAGAAATCAAAGAATTATATTTAATTTAATAAATATGTATAACACATCGATCTGTGAATAGACTATATATTGACTTTGTTGAACCCAAAAGAGAAATATTCAAGTAAACATATTTAATATGGAAAAAACAAAAAAAAAAAAAACTTTAGCGTTAAGGTTTTATTACTGCGATGGAATTAAAGATTTTTTATATAAAACATAACAAAAATTCAAGTTTTTTATTATTATATCGAAAGTATTAGTACGTGGGATTTCTAATCCTTTATTTAGATAATTTTAATTTTTATTAGATATTTTTTACTTTCTGAGTTTTGATTTCATCTTTCCTTATAGTAGCGCCATCTGTCTGAGAAGTTTTCCTAAGCCTGAAACGAAAAGAAAATGTTATAACTGTTATATGCTTTCAACACTTGTCTTATGGGATAATTTTAAAGAGTTTTTATTTATTTAATTGTTTTTGAACATTAAAATTCTCTGCAAAATTGATTAAAACTTGAACGGATCGAAAAAATGTAAATAACTATCATTCCGGTATTTAGTACATACTTGCACCTTTCACAATTTCGAACTCGAATATGTTACCAAAATTTGACATTTCCAACAGCAGCCAACTTCGTGGCGCCGGCGGTATGGTGGCAATTGTCAAGATAGAAAAATCGAAATTCTTCCATGTCACAATTCTTGTTCGATTCGTGTTGAAATATTTTTCTTCTGTCCGGGACAAATAAAAAAGAGCAAAAACTGACTCAACGTGCAGAAGCATCCGGGTAAGTAATATGTTAATCATATCCTTAACAATTTTAATTGATAATCGGCGTACTTTATACGGATTAAACGGCGTAAATATGCGAAAGTTTCTAACATGCTCGTGGTGTACAAGATTTCTTATAAGATAGTGCCCAAAAATTGTATAGCAATCTAATAAGATTAGAAAGGAATGCAACAAAAGAGGAAATGACAAGGATATGAGTATGTTGTACTAGATATTTAACAATTCCCATACGATTTACCTTATATTTTGTAATACTATAAGCAATTTGAAACGATACGTCATTTTGCAGTTTTTTTTTTATATCTACGCAGTATTTTATGTAGCAGTGTGCGTGTATAAAGCAGTGGTTGATCGTGATAGCCCAGCGAATGTGTGCGGAAGTGCGAGACGAGCACATAGCAACAGCGCCCAATTGCTATAGTTTTCTTTGATGTCTAATTCATGATATAAAATTAACTACAGAACAATTTTCTTAAGGTGCCTTGTTAATGTGTACTGTAATATAGCTGGTATTCGCCAAAATAAGAATACGTTTGTTAAGAGAAATGCTTAGCATTCTCCAAACTTTGTGGTTTATCTGTTAAACGTTGACTAAAAATACAATAACCGTAGCAGTATTCCTTTTTTTAATTTCACTAGCTTGTGAAATCATTCTGTGTTTTAAAAAACGTAAAACGTTTATTCTGACAATACACAAAAGCATATTCTTTTTATTAATAAAACTTTTGAATGAAAAAGTACTGTAATATTTAGTAGTTTAATCAGTTGAGTTCATGGTGTAATGCACACACATATTTAGCGTTATGCAAAAGCAAGCATATTATTTTACAAAGTTCACCCTGTGTCAACTAGTGTTTGTTTACATTTTAGCCGCAGAAAGTATGCAAGTAAGAACTACGAATGCTGGTTACATTTCAAATGTGTGGCCTCCATAATTATTTAAAATGTGTTAAGGAGATAAAGTGCACTAAAGTAATTATGCATACATTTAATAAAATAATTATAATAATAAATATAAAAAAATTAAAATAAATAAAAAATAAAATAAGATAAAAATAAAATGAATTAAAATAAAAAATAAGTATAAAAATAAAAAATAAAATAATAAATAAAATTAAAAATTATAAAAAAAAAATTAATTAAATAATAAAGAAAAATTATTAAAAGAAATAAAAAAAAAAAAAATTAAGAACAAAACAGCGATTTTAAAACTAAAATTGGTTTGATATTTAAACATAACTCGACAACGTATATGCCTATGTACATATGCACATACTTAGTATATGTACATATATGCATATTACAGATGCTGCAATATTCAAATTTCATTTAACCACTTTTAAAATCTAATACAATTCCAACGCATCTTAGCTCATTTATTTTGAATACACAATGGCTTGACCGATACAATTAATCAATTTAATTAAATACTTTTCAAGTTGCGAATCAAACATTGTAAATCAATAAACCAATGAATTAATACAAACATATGTAGATAAACTTCCCTGMACATCAATCTATGTACATACATACATTAGTACAATGCTTAAATAGGTGTCTGATGCCAGCAGAGATAATAATGCTTTTGTTTTTCCTGTGCTCCCTTTTGCTAAAGGTTTAAGCATTCTTATCGTTTCAGTTATTGCTTGTTATGTACACACATTGTATATGTATTTTTATGTAGATCCTATCTATACTACACTTCAGAATAATGGCTGCAGATGTAAAAAAAAAATTCAGTATGTACTATCTGTAGGCAGTACTATCAAAGCAAAAATATCAGAATGCTGTCATTCAATGCGCAGTTCAATAATATTTGTGCTAATGTTTACGAATTTAGTAGAACTGGTTTTTGTTTTGATTTAAGGCTATTTATTTCTTTGTATATCGAATATTCTTTATGCTTAGGCTAAGCATGTTAGTGGGTTTTTAAACTTCGAAAATGTATTCCAAGTGTAGTATAATGTTTGGTGTTATCAATGGTTGTCTTTTTTGTTATATATCCACATATATCTGTTAGTTTATGTTTTTATGAATATATATGGAAAGGCAATCAAAATATCTTCATTGGTTTATTTTCGAAATTTTCTTACTAAGTATGTACGTATGTACAAAAATTATAAGAAAGAAAAATTATAAAAAAGAAAACACTCCTAAACAATAAATATTTATCAATGTGAAAAATATGGATTATGTATTTCATATATTATCGATCCCTATATGGTTCGAACTTGAAATAACAGCCCTTGGCTTGATAAAATCCTGGTCAGTTTTCGATAACGTAGGGTAGGCTTTTGTGATAATTGTAAAATTACTTCATATATGCTTAGGATTAGGGTTACATTCAGCTATTCGAATGTTTAGGATAATAATTTTCGGATTAAACATTAGCTTTTCAATTTTTAATTCCGATTTTGGTAGTAAAAATAAAATTTAAAATTTTTAATTCTGATTTGGTAGTGAAAATGAAATTTTAAATTTTCAATTCCGATTTTGGTATTAAAAATCTCATAACAAATCAAAAAAATAATTTTTGCAATTTAATGCTTTATTTACCTTTGGCTTGTTGTCATATAAAGTGACAGACGAGAAAGCTAGTAGGTGTGATTTAATATACATATGTATGTATGTATGTAAATACAAATATTTAATTAGTATATATTTTTATTTATTTACATAATATAAAGAAGTATTTCAACATATTTTTACAAGCATGTATACAAATATTTATTTTATGTGCAGTACAATGAGTCCAACTTGCTTATCAACAATCAATTTAGTAAGGGTTTAGTATGTTCCGTTGCCATAACGTACCGTTGTTTGGAAAAGGTGAACATTGACATAATAAACAAGCAAAGAGAAAAGAGCAGCCATGTTTATTTCGACCGTACCGTTCCGTTCCATTTCACAACCATTCCACCTTGACAACTACCAGCCTAGATACGCGGAGTAGGTGACTACAAACACTGAACTAAAATACACACCGATACAATTTTTTATTGTAGCTGGTTAGTACGGGGTTGGCTGAAACAATTCAAAATATTGTTGTATGCGTTATTTTCGCTGTCTGTCCACCATCAGCCAATTCTGGCTGTGTACAGTTTTGTTTTTGTAGCTTAGCTGTACACATACATATAAATGTACATGTATTGTTTGCTCATATGTTTGTACAATGGATTTCACTTTGCATCGTGAAACTTCGGTAAAGTATACCAAAAAGTTTCTATAGATGTCTACAACACAGTGTTGCCACATTTTTAATAATGCAATTCTATAATTTATAATAGCAGACTGGGCTTATAAATGCAGTATTGCGAGGCATCTGTTGCTTTTAGAGACATAATCCGGTGAAAATAGGCGTTCAAGGTTACAACAGGTCGCAAGTTGTTTTTATATAGTGTTATGTGTCGGAGACGGTGGCTTCTGGGAAGAAAGTATTCATAAATTTCGTTTAGACAATTTTTTCATCTGTACTTTTTGTCTAAAGTAATTTTTTTGCTACAAATTATAGTCTCATTGAAAATCACAAAACAAAAAATTTGAAATAATTTTAAAATTCTTAATTTCACCAATTTGGGTATAAGGCAACATTTCGTTAAATAACCCAACGTAGTCTAGGACTAGATTTTCGTAGATTTTCGCTGACATTAAACAACTTTTAAAATAATTTTTTGAAATCACTACATTATATAACGTCACCTACAATGCAAAACAACGTATCAAAAATATCAAAACTGAGTTTTTGTTTTTGTTTACGATTCACTACATCTTATTACATAAGTATATGTAGCATAACATTTTCAGCTTCCGCTGTCAGTTATAACCAATCTATAACCATTTTTTGTTTTATCAAAAACTCCAATTTTGTTTTAATGAGTTATGAGTGGTTTCTACTATAACGTTTTTCCAAATATTTTTTTGATAAAATAATTGCGCTATGTGCATTATTTCGCCCGTAATGGCAGCACTAATAAGAGCATTGGTTTCAACGCACCCGAATGGCCTTTGTTTGTGTATAGCCCATGGCCAGATGATTTCGTTTTCGGTTCGTTCGGTGCGAAATCAATTCGTGACTGGCTGCAGCTATGCGACTCAGTATAGGCTCTGGCTCAAGCTGTTTTAGTTTATGTTTGGCAACAATTGAATAAAGTACCAACAGTTTATTTTTTTGTAATCTGCATGTAGTTTATGTATATGTGTAACGTGAAATCAAACTGAAGCAAAGTGTCTAAGCATTTAACAAAATAAAATATAATAATGAATTTAAACATTAAAATGTTTTAAAGACGTATTAAGCAACAAACTAGTTAAAGCTTCTTATACAATGGCAATGGCATTGTAAATTAGAACATACAATTGCAATATGAGCAAGTTATGATGAAAAATCGATAACTCCAAAAAAAAACTTTATTGTGTAAGAAAATAAGTTGTTGCAAAACGACAGTAATAAAAACACAACCAAAATGTCTTCGTGAAGCAAGAAAATCAAAAATTCTTTGTTTCACCAACCATATTGAAAGAACTGGACGGTGAAGGAAAATTAAATTCCGCAAACGTAAAACACCAAGAAAATATTTTTAAAAAACGATTGCATTTCGTCACTCGTATTTTTTGCGAAAGTTGAAATTTTTGTGATAACTTTGTAAAAGTACAAATTAGTGGTAGAAAAAAAAAAACATAGAGAGCTCTTAGACTAATAACAAACGTAAATTAAATGTTAAGTAACACAAACAACGTTACAATAAGTACCAACAAGTTTTTTTTAGTGCAATAGCGAAATTTTTTCTACACATTTAAATAAAAGCTTAAACTGAAACAACATTCCTGCGCAACATAAACCAAAATGGCTGTCAAAATGTAAGCATACTTAAGTGAACAACACTTTATTTCCTAATATTACTATATACATACATACGATTTTGTTAGAAGTGCAAAGCTCAAAAATGTGGTTGTCTCCAGATCCGCTAATCTTATTTCTGTAGCTGTATTTCTGCCGAATTTTTTCAAGAAACTTCTCTACATTTTGGAAAATTTGCATAGCAAATTGTAACTTTTAACGACATACATATCTATTTGTGTATCTGTGTGTTCTGCATCTATACATGCACACCGAATTTACTCGCTCCGCTAAAATTTGTCTCAATTTGCTGTAAAAAAATCGTTAACTCTGGAGTTAATAAAAAAATCTTCAAAAAAAATATCAATTAAATAAATAAAATAGAAAATGAAGAAGCTCCAGCAAAAGTTTCCACAGAATACAGTTTTGTATGCTGGTATTTGTGGGTGAGGTGCGGTGGTGGTGCGACGCGCGCACTAACACTGTAGTTGTATTCATGCATTGCTATTGTATTTGTTTCAGCTGCCAGTGTGTTCACAGCTGAGCTTCAATAACACAACACATAAAACGCAAAGCAGTTAAATATGTATGTATTTGTTTAAGTGGCAACGAATAGAAATTGTTTCTTAGCTTATAAAAGTTTGCAATTTTTCATCAAGTCAAAACATCTGTGTCCTGCTTTCTTGCTAAATAATTCATATTTTGCCATGACCCACAAATATCGTAGGCATTGCTACAGTTTACTTTAGGTTCTCAGACTGTAGATGAATTTTAGAATTTTTAGAAAATTTGGTTTGCTAGACTTTTTCGGCACAAGCTTTTTTTTTGTTTTTTTTTTTTATTTTACATAATTTGCTGTTAAATTTCGAGTAACGAACTGATATCTACAAGCTTTGCCTTTGTACAAGCAAATTTTATTCAAGGTGACTTTCGTATGTTTCGCAAATTTTGCAAATTTTGCAGGTAGAAATAGCATAATTTTGTTGTACAACTTAAAATTGTCGTCAAAAGCAAACATTTTTAGAATTTCGTAAGTTATTTAGAAATTAGTTTTTGTAAACCGTTTTTTTTTTTACAAATTTTTGCAGTTTAATAAATAATGACAATTTGCTCATTCTTTTTCAAATTTCACTTCCACTTGTTTCACGAAGAGGCACTACTACCAGCGCAAAACTCTGGTTATCTCATTATGTTCCGCACCAACAACAGCCCGTTTATCATTTTGTTCGCGCTCTGTATTTCTTTGTTTAATTTACTTTTCAAACAGTTTCTTACCAGCTGTTTCAGTTGCCTTCCGCTTCCACCCGTTGCTGTTTTCATCATACATACATATATAGCACCCCATCTATAAACTGTATTTTTTTTTAATGTTGTATAGAAATTTAGTTTTCATTGTCTTTGTTTATATTTATTTTTGTTATTGTAGTATATATATTCGTGTGCGCTACTTAAGCACACACACTCACAGACAAAGCATAAAATCTAAAATATACAAAAGTTTAGAAAAAGCGTATTCAAGTTTCGTATTGTATTAGAATTGCGTCAGCCAATCTCTTAACACAGACGTTTGTATGTTTGTACATCTGCATATGCAGTACACATACATATCTTTTATTTCTACATATCTACAAGCACATAAATATATACCTACACACCCTTAAGTTTGTTCACAGAACTTTTTATTTTGCTAGATTTAGCTTTAAGCTCTTTACTTGAGTTGTGCGAAAAAAGTGTGGTTAGGTTGGCATTTTTACGATTTTATATGCGTAACTTATATTTTTGATAAGCGACTTTTCGCCAAACCTACTATGTACTTACATATGCATATATGTTTGTTAAGCAAATATCTGTAACGTTGTAATATGCTATAAGTTTGACCCATATTATTGAAAACTTCGGTAGTGATAACCGAATAATACTTAAATATAATATGTTAACGAACTTGGTCACGAGTTGGTGCACGCGTCGCTTTATAAAGTACTGCTATGTCTCGTGTGTATTTCGATCATTTTTGAAGGTTATTTCGAAATATTTTTTTTAACTTGATAATAGATGTTTGTTTACCTGCCATAAATATTAAAGTTTATGTCTTTAATACCGTAATTTAATTTACATACATATATTAATATTATTTATATATTATATTATACATACAAATATGGGAATTTTTATAATTATTTTTATCAGCCTTTATAATTCAAGTTTTCACCTTTTAGATTTCTGTTTTGCTCTACTCTTCATGTGTATCAATGTTATTTCACATTTTGCTATGCATTTTTGTTTGTTTACCACTTTGCTGCATTTGCATTTGCCAAGTGTCATAACAAAATAAAATTGTGTACGCTAAATATTTCACAAGACGACGATAAAGTCATTTTATAGCATTTGTGTTTTTCATTCTGAATCTTGAAGGTTATGCGATGCCAAAGCAGCGACGGCTAAGCGTATAAGATACATTTTGAGGTTTAATAAAAATGCATATAAAGCTATATCTAAAGCGTATAAAATAAATTGGGATGCATAGTAAAAATGCCCAAAATTGTAATCTGTAAATAAGTTTAAAAGAAAAGTAAAGTATTATTCCATCATATGCATTATACATATACATATGTATGTATGTATGTGCATATACCATCTCCATACCAACATTATTTATGTTTCAACTCAGCCCTTACGAGCCAAAAAGTCGTATAACTTTCATTATTGACAAATAAATTTTGTTTATTGTTTATAAACATGTTGCGCGCGCATGCCTCATGTGTATAAACAAACAAACGCTACACAAAATAATGCTTTGGTTGCAACACAATTTTAACATAGTCTACATCCTTTAAATTATTTGTAAACATACAGGAATATATACAAATATAGCAACGTATTGTTTTACACAAACAGGCTAGCCAGTTGCGCTGCAATTGCTTTTAACTTTTAGCCCTGCACCTGCAGTGTCGAAGAATGGAAGCCAATTACGCGCTGCATAAGTAAATAAATCAGCCTTGGCAACAGACATAAAACCAGGCGTCGCCATTACTTATTTATAACTTTAGCTGCAGTCGCCAACATTTTTGTGGTAATTAAATATTTTCCATTTTCTAAGTCATAAATAGTTACCACAGAGATATTTTTGGTTGTGCACTCCACTGCTGTTTATGGCGAAATGCAATGCCGCTGCTCGCAAGTGTCGCATCACTATTGCTATGTAGAGATTTTCAAGTGCTTGGAAATCGTTATGTAACTTTAACACATTATTGTGTAAATAGCAATATTGGTGGCGACCTGCGTCAAACAATGGCCAGCAGTGTACAGCAGTTGCCACTAATAAATTTGTACTGCTGTGTTTGTTTGCACAAAAAAGTGAAATTTTCGTATAGTAGTCGACTGCCGATCCCGGTTGAGTCAGTATGCTCGTTACTGCAAAATTTACGTATTTAACTTCATATTTCATCAGCTCGGACATTGCTTACCTACAACATTCCTGCTGCTGCTTTTGTAATATATACATACATATGTATACATGATGTACTTGCAAAAGAAATCCAACATTTATAAATGTTGCTAGCTACATCGCATTTGTGCTTGCAAGCGTGTGTAGTTTCAAGCAACTGATTTTGTGAAATTGCCTGCAGCTGGCAGGGTCATACGAATCGACATGTCTGTGCAGCCGTCATTTTGCATAAGTCAAGTGGAGCGTGCAGCAACAGCAGTTGTCACTCGAGGCGCATTTGATGTTGCTCACTGCTCCCTTTTTTCATTTATTTTTATTTTTATTTTTAATTTTTTTTTTTATTTTATTTTTTTTTCAAGCGGCATATGACACCACCGTCGGCTGGCTACTCGAGTGGAAGGCAACGCCACGCCGCCTGCTGTTGTCAAGCATACCTACTGGCATATGCCACACAAAGGAGTTAGAACTAATTATATGGTACCTTTAGAAAAATCGATCATATTGTGCATTCATTGACCCATTCGTGCGCATAAATATCGGGACAATATGCATGTTGAAAGTTAAAAAATAAAATCTATATAAGGCTTAGCAGTGACACTGTCAGTTTGAAATTTTCTTGCATTTTTTTTGTATTAATTTCGGTTTTGCTACTTTTACGTCGTAGCTTATATTGTATGCAGTTTCAACCCCTAGTTGAAGTTCTGGCTATTTTAATGATTTTTCTACCCATAACTTGTTTTATTTAACACACCTTTGCATTACAAGTTTTATTTAACATATAGACATAATTAAAGCCATCAAACAAAAACTGTTTAGCAAAAGCCGTCGGGCGGTTTTGTCGCTGACGTGTGCACGTATGCACGTATGCTCTTATGCGACATTCAATCGTATGTGCATAAGTGTCAACCCTCTTTTGACACGCGTCCACCTTTATATTCGTATAGGTTGCACCCTTTTGACGGAATCTTGCCAAGCGCAATGCCTGTGCTGTTGGTGGTAAATTTTTTAATTAGAAATCACTGACTCACAGCGGCGTCTAGTGTGCCAACTGCTTATGGAAACCTAAAAGTTGTGTAATGCAGTTTTGTTGTATTATTTTTAAGGTATTCTCTTTTCCTTTTTTAGTTTCCTTACCTTTCTTTTTTGGCGAAATTATGATATCTGATCAGCTGTTTGGGAAATGTAGAAAAAGTGCCATTACAAGTACTTACATATATACGGGAATCACTGGCGATAACACATCTGATCAGCTGATTTATAAATCTAGAAAAAGTGCCATTATATTCGGCAATTACTTGTGATCGCAACACTCAGCAGTTATTTGTCAATATTTATTGCGTTCAGGTAATGATGACAAGTCGTTTCAGTTGTTTACTAAATGCAGCACTGACTTCAATCATATGCGCTTTGTCAACACACTGATATACATACATAAGTATCTTTGCTTTATCTACCATTTCATTTTGCGTAATTCGTTAATTTGACCTTGAAGCTTTGACTTTGCTTATGCTATATGCTTATGACTTTAGATTGTTATAGTAAAATAGATTGGTATAGTAAAATTGAGTAACAAAC